AACTATTTTGAAATCATTTAGTTCTTATGAGATATAAATTTTACACAGTGGTCCTTAAAATGTTATTTTTGCTTAAATTAATCATCCATACCCCAAACTATGTACAGGATAACTATTTTGTGATCCTTTTTTTTAAAAAGGGGGATTATATTTAAGAACCATTCAAGTAAATTATTTACAGATAAAGATTGACAAGTCTCATTTAAAAAAAGAAAAAATTAATCTTTTAATCCTTCAACTTTTAACTCACTTGTAATTCAATCTCTCAACTATGACTCGCTGTGACTCAGTCCTTCAATTTTTGGTTCACCTATAATTCAGTCCTTATTTTTTAATTTTTTTTAAAAAAATTTTATCAAATAAGAGGGATAAAAAATACTTATATATTATTCTAAAATACCCTCCTCTTACTCATTGATGTAAGATATAAGCTAATATAAAAAAAATTAACAAAAGTTTAGGAACTAATTTGCAAGTGATTCAAAAGTTAAGGAACAAAGTCATAGGCGAGTCATAATTGAGAGATTGAGTCATAGCGAATCATAGTTGAAGGACTGAGTTACAAGTGAATTAAAAGTTGAAGGACTAAAAGATTAATTTTTCCTAAAAAAAAGTCACATTTTCATTTTAATAACAATCAATTCTATATTGATTATTGCCTATGAATAATTTATTTGAGTAGTTCTTGAATTTATTCTCCCTAAAAAAATTAAGTGAAATTTTAATTTCTTAAAAAATTTTATATATCTTTAAATATTCTATATAAATTTTTAAACAAATTAATAAATGTCTGGATATAGCCTATAATTGAAAAAATTATAAAAACTATATAATATACTATATTTTTAGATCAAACATGATTCAGATTTATGGAAGATGTCCTTCTATATTGTACTCTCTTCAATCAAAATGTAAACATTTTCTCTTAAATAAGTAGATGTCTCGAGTTTAAATCTTAAGAATGCAACAACATAAGTGATCAAGGCACTTACCCTTACCCTTGTGATCTTTGTTATGTCCCAATTCAAATTAATTTAGACCTTATTAAATCTCCACAACCCGAGTGAGGTAGGCTCTCGTTGCTCATGAAAAAAAAAAGTATTTTTGGCTAGGATCAAGAATACTTTTTTAAAAAAAAAAATATATATATATATACAAAAATTATTTGAGTCGCATGCGCATTTGGAAATTGAAAATAGAAGAATTACAGCCAGTCTCTCTTAATGAAATTAATTATAGATAATAATCAATAACAAATCTCATTTGAAAAAAATAAATCATGTTTTATATTGTTCCTTATCTGTGATTAATACTCTTAAGAGGAAATTGAATGTAATTTTTCCTAGAAAATATCAAGATTCAGCCGATTAGGAATGGGGATGTCCTCACGTCTAGCATGCAGGAACGTCGCCAGATTGTTCCATTGAGGCCACAATGCAAATGAAGACATGGAAACCGAAAATGATTGACCTGAAAATAGTAGCCGGTGGCTGAAAGATTGAGATGAACTGATAAGAACATCAGTTATTTATTTAAAAACAAAATAAAACATTACAACTTGTTTTTCCAAAGTAGAGTGCCCATCCGAGAAAGCCATGCTAGGATAATCTCTATTGATGGAATGATAAGGATTCAACTAACTTCGCATGTATGCATATAAAGTAACTATCTTGGTCAGTTGGTGCTATTCTTTTAATTAAAAATAAATATTTTGATGAAAACCCATGTTAATTGAAAACCTTAAATCTCTTGATTTCATGATTTTGTATCAAGGATGCAATATAACAAGGCAATATTCTATTTATATTTCTCTCTCTTTTCAATTTCAATTTTTTGTATTTTTTTTTAATAGACTATAATTTCAGTGTAGGGCCTTCGCGGACATTTTATTTCAGCTATAAAGATTTTAAAAATACACTGCAAAATTATGAGACTACTTTAAAAAAATTTAATGATCAATGATTAATGCCTTTAAAAAAAAATCACCACCATCGTCTATGGAGTTCTGGCGAAAAAATAAATGTTCAAGATGACCAAGAAAAGAGGCTCTGCGGTTTATTTCCAGAATCTTTTGAACTTCATTAATTTGAAATAAAATATGTACAAAAATTCTATATTAAAATTCTCTCTTTATAGCCCTCTACCTCAATTTATAAAATATTTTTGAAGGTGATTTGGTGTTTTAAAATATAAAACATTTTGTTAAAATTAAATTTTATTAATTGTACTTGTTTTAATATTAACCTTCCCTCCATATCATGTGTTTTCTCTCTATTTAATGTTTTATAAATAAAGTCTTGTTAAATGAAAAGTATTGTTGGAAATTTATATTTGTCTTAAAAGAAAATAATATTTTAAAGTATATTTGAAAAGCTTTACGTCATATATATCTTGTATCTTGCGCTTGGTAAGAGAGAAAGGTAGGGGAAAAGAAAAGTGAGGCATTTTCTCGTGCTTGACTGAGGAAAGAAACATAAGAGAAGCAAAAAATTGAAAAAGAAAATAACAGGTGGGAAGTGGGAACCCATGTTTTTACATCTAACTTTTTTTTGGAAATATAAAAAAATTTTGTTGAGAAAATTTAATTTTCAGATTTAGTCATGACCCTTTTCATATCCTGCTTGTTGCCTCCTATCATTTTCATCCAAATTTTCCCTTTCATTTTTTAATTTAGATTATTGCACTTTGTGCATTGCTCTAGTGTCAAAGTGATCCCCTTGCACAGGGGAGGTGGTAGGTTCAATCCCCACATGAGTCTAGCCTACTTTCAATTTAAAAAAGAAAAAGAAGAATTTAGTTTATTATATATACTCCCTCTATTTAAAAATATAAAATATTTTTAATTAAATTTTATTTTAATAAAATAATTATTTATTTTTAAATTAATTCTATCTTTTTATATCTATCCTTATTAAATACTCTATAATAAATATCAAGTTATTATCAATAAAAATGCTTTTAAAAAAAGATAATGATTACATTTTAAAAAATTAAAAATGTTTTACATTTTTAAACGGAAGGAATATATATATAATTTAATAAATAAAATTTAAAATTAGGTAAAATAATTTTTTCTAGCATCGAATAAAATAATTTAGAAATATACTTTTAACCAGTAATATATAATAAAAATTAAATTATATAATTAATATGTCAAAATATTAAATTTTTATAAATAATAAAATTATTATTATTGATATAAAATCAACAATATTTTCTTCTCTCATTTTTCCATATTCAACTAAGTAAAATCTCTTTTTTTATTTTTCCCTATCTCCATTTTCTCACCTCCACTTTTTCTCTCTTTTTAAGTCCGGCAAACCTAGCACGGCAATAAAGTACTAACTTAGATGAAGGAAGTCTTCGGCCAAAAAAAAAAAACTATATGTAGGAAGTATACTTTAATAAAAAAAAAATGGAATTTTAAAAAATTCATTCAATACTAGCCGATTGGTTTGCATAATTGTTAGGTGCGCCACAAAAAGTGGCTGGGTCTGCACCACAGTCTCTGGACAGTGGACACCAACGTGGCACAACCCAGCACAAATGAAAATACATACTCATTCAAAAATATAAAATATTTTAATTAAATTTTATTTTTTAATAAAATAATTATATATTTTTTAATTAATCCTATCTTTATATATTTATCTTTATTAAATATCCTATACTAAATATAAAGTCATTCATCAATAAAAATATTTAAAAAAATAATAATTATATTTTAAAAAATTAAAAATATATTAAATTTTTAAATATTTAACTCTTTAAAAAATATTTTAATTTTTAAATAAAAGAAGTAAATGATATGAATTTTTTTTTTGATGGAATATCAGGGGAAGCTAACATTATATCAACTTTTTGGGCCCGCAAAAGATATGAACTTTAAACGATGTTTTTACAAAATCACATTTCTCAAAGTTCAATATCTATTCACTGACGTGACACGTTTAAATGGTTTAACCATCTTTCCAACGCTCCGTCTCCTTTTTTTTTTTTTTTAAGGGTGGGTCTAGTTTAATTCTCCTCTTTTTTTTAAGGGTGGGTCTAGTTTAATTTTTCTCGATGAACAAAATATTTAGATGAATTAAACATCAAAGGTTTAAAATAAATTTAGACATGCTTTCAACTTAAAAAAAAAAAGAATACAAATCCTAGACTAACCTTTGTTAATACTTGTAACTTAAATTTTGAATCGTAGTTGGCCCAAAAAAAAAAAAATGATAGGATCTTTCATCGGTCTTCCAGATCGGCCTTCGTTATTTTAGGAGATGAAGGTTGATTATTGTCCTTCTCAAGGATATAAATGAATGAGGATTACGAATTCAACAAAACATTTGACTGGGATTTGCGTCAGAATTTAATGTCAAAAAACATTTCAAAACCCTAACAAAGCGACTTATTTATTCATTTTTGATTGATTTTTATTTAATGATTTTGGTTTTTTCATTTAATGATTTTGGTTTAGAGGAGGTTAACTAGTCATCTCTCGTTCCTTTAAACTGAGTTTTTAGTATCATTAGCCAAAACAAAAACTCAGTTTTTATTCTTCTACCTCGAAAATAACAAATGGGATTGAAAATGTATCACAATTTTTATTTAAACAATCATTAATTTTATATTATAAATTATAAAATTTGAATAAAAAAATAACTTTTTACAAAAATTTCTCATACTGAAATTCAAATTATAGAAACAATCAATAACAACTTCTATAAAATTAAAGTTTTATAAATAATCAATTACAATAACAATTTATCACGTAAAAATTGTTTTTATCAATAGACAACGGACAAGTTTAATTATTTAATTTAAAATTATTAATATCAATATAATATCCACACTAAAGAAAAATTATGATCTATTATAAAATATAATTATTATTTATATATCTGGATTTATTGTCATTTACTCTAAATGAAAAATAAAGCAACGCGGGAAACAAAACTGAAGAAGCGTTGGCCTAAGGCCCGAGAATCAAAGCAACAACAAAACCGTAATGAACGAATCTGAGCACTAAACTAACTGTTAAATTGCAAAACAACCAAATGAACAAAATAATTAATTCTAGAATTTTCACATCTGCCATCTACATTATCTGTGCTTCTTTTCCATCTTCATCCTCGTATGGATTTACATCTTCCACGGTATGAAGTATGAACAAAACATTTTAACCCTTTCCGAAATGTTTCGGCAAAAGACACCACAAAATCTTGGCGCCGCCAAAACGTTCCCCCATCCTCCTCCTACAATCCTAAATCGCCTGCAGAGACTCCGACCGCCACAACACATCGCCGGCATCAGCGTGATCAAACAACCCATCCAGGGTCACAAACCCACTGCCGTTATCCTCGACGCCGTACTCTACAAACACGCCGGCTCCATACCCAAAAGCCTCGTACTGCGGGATATCATCTTCGAACCCCAAGAACCCGCTCAGATCGATACCATCCGGTCCGACCCGACTGAACCCCTCGGTTAACGGCTCCGGCTTGTCCTCCTCGGCGGGAGGCGTCACCGTCGGCGGCAACCCGAGTTCGTCGTCGGACGCTTCCAAAAGATGCCGCAAGTCGCTTGACTCGTGCACCGTGGCCGAACCCACCGGATCCGGACCCGGGGCAAGTATTTCATCCTCGAAACTCTTGATCACAGAGTCGAGACCCTGCATCGTCGGGTCCCGTTCGGCCGCATTATCAGAGTCATCAAGGATGTTCAACAAAGCATCCTCAATCCCCCCGGCCGCGGGCGATTCGAGAGGCGTCGTGGCAGAGTCAACCCGGCTGAGTTCATCAACCTCCGAGTTATCGCATGACTCCACCGAGTTCGTTCGAGAAAGCTGAGACTCGCCCGAGTTCACATCGGAGTCGGAGTGAACTCGGGCGATCTTAGACTCATGCAAGTCCTCGTCGAACTCGGACGAGTCATCCCGGACTCGCTTCCTCGTGTCGGCACAATTGTCCCCCATGGTAAAAGAACAGAGGGAGGGAGGGAGAGAGAGAGGAAAAGTGAAAAGGAGATAAGTAACAGAGAAGAGAATCGTGTAGGTGATGATGGTGGTGGTAGTGTTGGGGAGAGTGTGGGAGAGAGAGAGTATAGAGAGAGAAAAAAGAGTTGTTTCGGTGAGAGGAAAGAGAAAGGATGAAGGGTATATATAGGGAAGGGAAATGCAAGATAGGGTTTGTGTGAGGAAGAAAGAGACAGGGGCGTGTATAGCGGAGGGAAGGCTTTAATTAAAAGCTGCGTCACGGACGTCTCTTCTCGCATCGTACCCTCTTACTTTTCATTATCGTCCTTATAATAAAATAATAAAATAAGAAATATTATTTATTTATCGGCGTGGCGTGTGTGATCCGTTGGAGGGACCGATTGTGTGGGGCTGTGACTTTTTTTAAATGGGAAGTTATGATTCTTTTCTTTTGCTTTCTTTTTTCCTTGGTGCTCGTATCTGGAAATTAACTAAATTTAAATGGGCGAGTGAAGTCCGGAGGGTGGGGGCCCACCCCGACACAACGCCAAATGAAATCATGTGGTTGGTTTTTACTTTTTTTTCTTTTTTTTGTGGTGTCTTTGGAATTTAGGAAGTCTCGTCACTGGTGGAACGCTATTCGTGGATTCCCCCTATTTATTTTTTTAATTTTAAATTTGTTTTGGGGGGGGGTTTGACAAAGTGTTGCTATTTTTGAAAGCAAAAGTTTTGAACTTTCTGATTTAGTAAATGGGTGGTTACACATAGAATGGAAAAATATTTAATTAAATGGGTATTGTGTGTATAAGTAGATGGATCTAACTTTGGGATATTTTGGGAGCATTTGACCCACCGTTCATTGAATTGGAGCAAAGGGCAAACCTAATAAGATTCCGACCTCGTTGGTTTGTGTTGGAGAGTTTCTCGTATTGCAGGCGGAATAGTTGTCGAGACTTGATATCATATTATGTGTTTGACATTCATGTGCACAGTACACCGGACATTGACGCTTCTTTTACGAAACTTAACCCCCTACCCGCCCAAAAAAAGGTAAAAAAAAAACTATTTTTTCAAGCCTATACTTTTCTTAATAGTTAATCCAAGATGAGAATGACACTAAGATTATAGAGTTTTTCTAGAAGTTTCCTTTAGTCCAAAATAATTAATAATTGATGAGAATTTTTTAAATAAGTATAATATTATGTGTATTCCACTTAAGGTTACAATTAAAAATATGTGAAAATTTAAAAAAAAAATATTTTAACTAATTTTTTAGAAACACCATACTATAATTAATGATAACTTATATTTCAATATGGAGAAAGTAAAAATCTCTCAAATTGCTCAATTGATTTAATTTTTTAAATTAGTATATGAGAATGATACAATTTTAAAATTTGTGTGTCATCATAATTAGACATTTAATTAAAAAGTTGTATATTTTATTTCAATGTTTGTTTTATTTTAATGAGTTAATAAGCATCCTATATTTTAAACTGTTGCGCAAATAGCATTATGAATTCTAAACTCTTGAAATGGGCAAAAACTCTTTTTAATTTCTAAACATCTAAAATTACACCGTTAAATTAGAGAAAATAATTATTATTTTTAAATATTAAAGTGAGTGTCACATCAGAGTGTGATTGGATCCCACAACTACAAAAGCAACAATCATTTTTTACAACTTAATGACGAGATTTTAAACACTCAAAATTTAAAAGTTGAAAAAAAATTTTATACATTTTATGAGTTCAATGTCAAGAATGTTATTTGCATAACAATTTAATATTTATTATACTCATTAACCCTAGAGTCGGTAATCTGAGCCAAGCCCGAAGGGCTAGCTAGAAAAAAGTTAGGATTGAATTTGGCTGTATGAGCTTTTTTATTAAAATAAGATACTTTAAATTCAATCCGAATAAGCTGACTTCAAATTGAGCATAATCCAAATAAGTTTAACCTCTAGAATTTTTAGCTTCATATGCACATAAAATTGGTAATTATGGCCAAACCCGACAGGCCAACCAAAACCCAATTGGAAAAAATTATGGTCGGGCTTGACTATATGAGCTCTTTTTAGAAGGCAAGATATTTCAAGCTTGATCAAAATAAACCCGACTTGATTTGAGCCAAACTAGAATAATTTTTACTCGTTCGAATTACCGACTCTAATTAACCCTTTTTGAATTATATTTTAGAGCTTATTATTCTCATTTAAATTTTTAGTCAAATCCTTTAAACATTTTATATACACCCTCCATTCAAAAATATAAAACATTCTTATCCAAATTGACATCCAATAAAGTAATTAATTGTCTTTAAATTAACACCATTTTTCATATTTAATCTTATTTAATAAGATATTTATCTTTAAACTAAATATAAAATAATTTATTTGCTATAAATACTTTTTAAAAAATATATTAATTATATCTCAAAATACTATAAATACCATACATTTTTTTAAATTCAATTTTTGAAATTTAATTTTTTAAATACCATACTATAATTAATGATAACTTATATTTTAATCTGGAGAAAGTAAAAATATCTCAAATTGCTCAATTGCTTTAATTTTTTAAATTAGTATATGAGAATGATACAATTTTAAAATTTGTGTATCATCATAATTAGACATTTGAACAAAAAGTTGTATATTTTATTTCAAGGTTTGTTTTATTTTAATGGGTTAATAAGCATCCTATATCATAAACTATTATATAAATAGCATTTTAAATTTTAAACTCTTGAGATAGGCAAAAACTACTTTTAATTTCTAAGCACCTAAAATTACACGTTTAAGTTAGAGAATATATTCATTATTTTTAAATGTCAAAGTGAGTGTCACATCAAAGTACGATTGAATCCCACAATTATAAAAACAACAATCATTTTCTATAACTTAACGGTGAGATTTTAATCACTCAGAATTTGAAAGTTAAAAAAAAATTTTGTACATTTTATGAGTTCAATATCCATGATGTTATTTGTGTAATAATTTAATATTTATTATACTCATTAACCCTAGAGCCGATAATTTTGACAAGTACAAAGGACTAGCCAGAAAAAAGTCAGGGTTGCGCTTGACTATATTGGTTTTTTTAATAAGGTAAGATACTTTAAGCTCGATTCGAATAAGTTGACCTCAAATTAAACCTGACCCAAATAAGTTCGACCTCTAGAATTTTTAGCTCTACATGCATATAAAGTTAGTAATTTTGGCCAAACCCGACAGGCCAACCCAAATCCAATTGAAAAAAAATTAGGGTCGGGCTTGATTATGTGGGCTTTTTTTAGAAGGTAAGATATTTCGATCAGAATAAACCCAACTTGATTTGAGCCAAACTAGAATAATTTTGACCCGTCTGAATTACTGAATCTAATTAACCCTATTTGAATTATACTTTAGAGCTTATTATTCTCATTTAAATTTTTAGTCAAATCCTTTAAACATTTTATATACACAATTCATTCAAAAATATAAAACATTCTTATCAAAATTGACATCCAATAAAGCTGTTAGTTGTCTTTAAATTAACACCATTTTTCATATTTAATCTTATTTAATAAAGTATTTATCTTTAAACTAAATATAAAATAATTTACTTACTATAAACATTTTTAAAAATATATTAATTATATTTTAAAATACTATAAATACCATACATTTTTTTAAATTCAACCTTTTAAAAAATATTTTATATTTTATAACGATGAAATACATGTTATGATATTCAGAAATGTAAATTAAAAAAAAAAATTAAGCAACCTTTCGACGCATCGCCCAACCATGGGTCTCATCACAAAGTGAGAAAAATGGAAACGAGGCAAGTAGCCATATGAGCTCGAGCCCCAAAAAGTCAAGCCTGAGGGTTAGTCCTAGTTAGCCCTTACTGACAGATTTACGTTCAAGTTTCATCATATACACGCTGCAGTAAAATATTGATATTGACACTATTCTTTGTAGCAAATATTATCCATTTATTATTATTTAAAAATCAATAATTTTTCATTTTTTCTGAAAAAAAAGGTATTTTAAATCACTTCATGGAGATGAAAAAATAGTTAAAATTAGTCTGTATCGTTAAAATGAAAAAAAAAGGAGTTATCACTTCTTTTCAAAATTTTTCTCCAATTTAAATCACTTTGTATCTTAATTAGCTTTATTTTTTATATAATCTCTTTCTATAATGTGATTAATAAGAGCATTTGTGAAAAAATTAATACTGTTGATTTTTTAAAAAGTGTGTTGTATTTTGGACCAATACTATTTAATAAAAATTTCTTATAGTTGCAAAACGAATGAGTATTTCAAAATATATTCAATCATATTTTATTTATAAGTCATTTTTAATATCTTTATAAAAATAAAAATATATTAAAATTCATAAACTATATGTAAAAAATTAATAAATTTTTAACTTTATTCCTATTAAATTATACATACTTTAATAATGTGCTTAATAATCTCATCAATATTTAATGTGGGTTAAAAAAACGATAATGAGCGAATGACATGTTTTATTTTATTCTCATATGCAAAGGCGGCAAAGACAATTAATAAATATTGGTTTAATCGGTAAAAATTTAGTTTATAATCTATAAAATCATATATTTAAATCTTATTATTGATATATAAATTTTATTAAAAAACGATGTAAATATTTTTAAACTAAAAAATGCATCCCTGTCTTGAAGTTTCTTAACCCAACTCAGCTAAACATTTTTAACATTTATGTAATTTTTTTTAGACAATTTCATCCAGCCTCTTTTTAAAGAAATTAATTACACATAAAAACTAATAACAAATTTCATTAAAAAATATATTTTTATTTTAATAATAATTTATTGCTCATTAATTTTTATTTATGATTAATTTTTTTGATGGAGGTTGGATGTGATTTTTTTTTTTTTTGGCCTGTCCTTTGTTATGCTTTTAATATTCGTGTCTTCTTTATTACCTGGTGCGTGTTTGGTTTGTTTATTTAATGATAGTTGTCGCTGGCCAAGAAAACTCAGCTAAATATTCTTTTGTTGAAAAAAGAAATAAAGCAAGACAACAGTCTGTTATTTCCGGGTTGCCTTTGTAGCCCTTTTTCTGGCGGCTACATTTCTTCGGCATTTCAGAAACCACCAAACCCCCTTGATTAGTCTGTGCCGACGTGGCA